CCCCAAAACCCCAAAACCCCAAAACCCCTGGAGGCAGTAGGATTATTGAAGATATTTGAATTAAGCAAAGTTCTAATGAACAAAATGATAAAGGAAATAGCAAGCGATCCAAAAAATTGATCGAGATGAAGAGATTTATAACAACCAGAAAGGTAAGTTTAAAACTTATGTCAAACCCATACTTTCCGGACAATCCTATTCTAACTCTAAGGGATATTTTAACCATTCGTAACCTCCTGTCTAACAATTACACTTTTTCTTTCCCTTCCTCCTTCTCATCTCCTTCCTTGTATCCTTACTCAACTTCAGACTCATTCAATCCCTACTCTCCGCCAGCATGCCTGTCTGTCCCAAGTACTCTACAAATTTCTTAAAAGGTTCCTTCACATTAACTCCTTCCACACAGCTTGTCAAGAACCCATCTGTGAGTTCATGCTTGGTTCACTCTTTAGCTATATTTGCTTCTTCATTTTCTTTAATTCAGATTCTGAAAATTTATTGACAAAATTACCTGTGAGGAGATCGCTCTTGTTACCAATTAAATAAATGGGAAAATCATCGTGGGCTTTGGGACGTTTGGAGCGAACTGTTGAAGCCCAAGAGGAGATTTCTGAAAAAGAGTCTGGGTCCGAGAGATCGCACACAATGAAGCATCCTTTTGCGTTACGAGAAAAAAGAGAAGAGAGACTAAGAATATCTTCATAAGTATCCCAGATGTCGAGCTCGATTATAATGCCATTTGGAAGATGATAATTTTTGAGATAAGCTCTCTCATTAACTGTGCTACTGTTCTTGAGGTCTTTGGAGGAAGAGTTGAAGTCCTCATATCAACTCATCTATGGGATTTCAGAGTAATCTTACATATCGTTTGATTAATGAGGTTTTACCTGATTTCTTTGTACCTACTCATATTAGTCTAACAGGGAACCTTTCTGACATCACCGCAGCCATGAATGATACTTATAATATTATGGAATTTTCAGTTCTAAGCTCTAAAAATGGGGTTTTGGGGTTTTGGGGTTTTGGGGTTTTGGGG